TGGGTTCAAGTCAAACTCGGCTGGGAAGGCCGAGATCCAGTACCTGGAGGAGAAGAGGGAGGCTTCACTCAAGGCGGTCACTTCCCCTCCCCGCAGTGGTCTGTCCAAGGGTCTGGCAGGGACTGAGGTCTTCCAGAGGGGGGCTGTCATGTCTCAAACTGCCCCAATCCCCCAACCAGCTCTCCTTCTCACAGCAGCCCCTCAGCCATCACCCTCACTGAATGGATAAGAAAAGCAAGACTCGGAGAAGGGGAGCTCTGTGGAGGTACAGCCTTCCCCCAAGGTCAGAGAGAGATTCAAACTGCATGCCCCAACTCTGGGAACAGAGCTCTTCCCACCCAGAACCTGCGGCCTGAGGAGAAGGCTGCAGGAGAGGACAAGGACAGAGCCTCAGAGCAACTCACCTGACCAGGTGACACGTCTTCACTTGCAGGGAGTTGGAGTTGTCCTTCCGAGATTGTTGGTAGGTGAAGAAGAGAGTCAAGGAAAACAAAAGCGGAGCCTCCTTCTAGCACAGGAGGGAGGAATGAGCCTGAACTGATAGGTAGTACAGGAGGGTTCTGTGCTGGGCGGGGTCCTAGGAGACTGGAGGGAACCAGGCTTAGGGAAGGGACCTGGGAAATTTCCCAGAGACTGAGGATGAAGAAGCTTGAGCTTTTGTAATGCAGAGTGTAGGGGGAAACGTTAGGCAGGGGCCTAGGCTCTAAGGCTCTAAGTTCAGAGAGAAAGGGAAGAAATGGGTTGGGCGAGGCCAGGTTCCAGACTCGAGGTAGGAAGAAGACCACCAAGGTGGGTGGGGAGACAGCCTAGGGGCAGGGCCTGCGCTATGGGGGTGGAGCCTAGGCCGTAGAGGGAATCTGGCATGCAGCTGAACTCTGGGGTCTGAGCCTGGCCTGAGCTCCAGAAGAGAGGCTCATTCTGGTCGGAGCTGGGCCCAGGCCCACTCAGGGCCTTCAGGGGCCCTGGCGAGGCTCGCGAAGGATATATGTGGAGCAGTTTAGCCGCCAGCTGGGAGGAAGGGATGTACCAGGGGTGCATCATAAGAAACATGCGCACCAGCTGCGGGTCCCGCACCTTCCCGGAGTCATCTAACCCGAGGGGTCAAAGAGATGCAGGTTGGCCCTTGCTCTCTCAGCTGGGGTGCCCAACACTACCCCAGGGTCGCTGGCATCTGGCCCCTGCTGGGCCACTCTCGACCTCCTGCCCCCTCCTGAGCAGGCGGGGTGGAGGGAGGCGTCCAGTTCCCCCTCCTGCCATCCAGAGGGGAACCAGCTGGGGAGGAGAGACAAGGGTTCCCAGGGGTCAAGAGTCCAGGGGTCATTTCCTGAGTGCTGGGGGAAGGGACACCCCTGCACCAGATAGGCCGCCCCCCATCAACCGGAAACAGCTTCCAGGCCGGAGGTAGTGAGTTCCTCCGGATCCCCTCCGCCCCACCCTCGGGACTGATAATGTCCCTCATGTCAGAGTCTGGGGATCCTGGGCCTCCTTTCCACGAGGGGGGGTGCAGGGAAACATCTTGTCCGCAGCATCTCTCTACCCCGTGAGGAGGACAGGCTACAGCACAGGGTGGGTGCCCAGCGGGTCTGCGCTGGAGGCAGGGACGGGGTTCAGCTCCTGGGCTCCGGGGTGTACCCTCCCATGCCACTCACCAAAGGCTTCGATGCAGCCGCGGAGCAGCTCCTCCACCGTGCAGCCCTTGTCCAGGTCCAGCGTGCTCGCCATGGCCGCGCCGACCCCCTGTGCCGGGAGAGGCAGAGCCCGAGTGTGCGGAGGCGCCGGCCCCGGGGAGCGGCCGCGCGGGCAGGAACCGGGCCGCACGGGCACGCCCCCTACCGGGCAGGGGCGGAGTCGCCGGCCGCAGCCACTCCCGGAGTTCAACGGTTCGGCGGCGATGGTGCAACCCGCCAGTTGGGAAACTGCCCCTCTCCGAGGGACTTCCTCTCCGGCCCTCCCTCGGAATCGGACCGAGGAGCTCCTCGGAGATCCCGACGAGCCAGCCCCTCGCAGGCCCTCGTGCGCTTCGCCCCCTCTCCTCGGAGGCACCTGCAGCACCCCGCAGCTTAGCTCTGCGCCCCTCCCGCTTCCCTTCCTCTACAGCCTCCCTTCCCCCGCAGGGTTATTTTAGGAACCCAGAGCCTGAGGGGACCTCGGAGGAATTTCTCCCCGGGATGAGAAGGGGGGGAGGAGAGAACCCAGGCGTCCTGCCCGCCTCGCCCCCTCCTGGGCGCCCGGGAGGGGAGGCGGGACTGGAACGGCCCTGGGGGCCTGGCCCTGGGGAGGCGGGCTGGAGTGGAGAACATTCCTGGGGCGGGGGGAGCCCGCGGCGTCCCGGAGGCGGCAGCGGGAAGCCCGAGCCTGGGAACTGCGCGCTCCCAGGCCACCTCCTCCATGAAGGCCCCAGGGCTCTGGCTCAGCCTGAGCTCTGGACTCGCAAGGCCGCCACCCTGCACGGCGTGAACTGTGAACGCGCGCACAGGCAGGCTACGCTCAGACACCGAGCTCCAAAGGAGGCGCTAACGCAATGAGGGTGGCGAGTACGTGGTCCAGTCGCTGGTGAGGTCACACGTATTCGTGTAGGGACAGACACTCTATTCTAGATCCATTATTCACTGAGGACTTGGACCCATGCTGGGGAACAAGATGCCCAACTAGCACCAGGGGTGCAAACATTCGCCTCCCAACCTCCCTGTCACACACACAATGGCACCCACACCGGACACACCTGCACGGCGGAAGGAACCCTCGGGCTCACAGCCTCCGCCTCCCTACCCCAGAATCCGTGGGGGCGGCTCCCCGGCTGCAGCTCGCTCAAGCCCGGCCAGCTCCTGAAGTCCCGGGCCACAGCGGCAGCTGACAGCCGCACACGTGTGCACTCCCGCCTGCGAGCGCACCTACACACATGCACGCTCTCCCACACATGCACACACCTCCCTAGGTGCGCACACGCGCCCAAACCACCGCCCCCTTCCTACGAGGCCCCGTGCGGCCCCTGCGCCCTGACGTCCCCCCCACCCCGGGGCCTGGCAGAGCCTGCCCCCACAGAGAGGTACACACACACACACACACACACACACACACACACACAGAGGCTTGGGGCGGGGGTCCTCAGAGCTGCTCTCCTGGGGACTTTTCCTAGGAACCACCTAGAGTGGTCTCGCCTGGCTCTGCCGCTTCCACACAGTGTGACCTTGAGAGCCACTTGCCCTCTCTGAGCCTCAATTTTCTCATCTGTCAAATGGGGTCCTGCAGGAAGGGTCCTGCTGGGTCGAGGCTGGTGCACAGAGGGTGCCGCCCCCACCTCCAGATCATCCAGAGCTCCCCGGTTCTCCGGTAACTCCCTTCCAAGCCGACCCCGGCG